TCTTTCTTTCTTTCTTTCTTTCTTTCTTTCTTTCTTTCTTTCTGTACAGAGTCTCACTATGTAACCCTGGCTTGGAACTTGTAGACTAGGCTGGCCTGGAATTCCTCTCAAGTGCTGGGATTAAAGATGGTGTAATGCCCAGCACCATTAAGTCCTATAGTAAGGAATATGATTGCGTAACATATATTATTATCATAAAGCAATGTAAATATTAAGTAGACCAGTGTCCTGTTGAGTGTTCTATTGCTGTGAAGAGACACTGTGATTGTGACAACTCTTATAGGAAAGCTTTTCATTGGGACTTACAGTAGCAAGAGGTTTAGTTCATTATTGAAAGATTTTGGCGTGCAGATTGGACAACACCAGACCAACCGGTTCAGCGAGGGGAGGGGGTTTATTCAGGGCAGAGGGTGGGGAGAGAAACAGGAGGAAACAGGAGAAACAGGGAGAGAAGAGAGAGAGAGGTAGAGGCTGGCCATGACCATGTAGAGAGAGAGGGAATGGAAGGGGGGAGGAGCGAGGGGACAGAGAGAACCTGCAGGCGAGGGATCAAGGGAGCAAGAGAGTGAGGAGGGGGGAGCCAGCCCCTTTTCTAGTGGGCAGGTCTACCTGACTGTTGCCAGGTGACTGTGGGGAGGAGCATACCTGGCTGTTGCCAGGTAACTGTGGAGGTGGAGTTTAGACAGAATACTAACATTTATCAGCATGGAGGGAAGGAAGCATGGTGGCATGCAGGCAGACATGGTGCTGGAGAGGAACTGAGAGCTTATATTTGAATCAGTAGGCAGCAGGAAGAGACACTGTTCTTAGCTTAAACATTCAAAACCAAAGCCCACCCCCAGTTACACACTTCCTCCACCAAGGCCACACCTCCCAATCTCCCTCAAGTAGTTCCTCCCTAATAACCAAGTATTCAAATATTTTGGAGCCTATGGGGGGCCATTACTATCCATACCAATTTTCCTTCCTTCCTTCCTCCCTCCCTCCCTCCCTCCCTCCCTCCCTCCCTC